CTCTGGGGACTTCAGCCGGCACGGTCAAGGTTGGATGACGAGGGTGAAAGGGGGGAAAGGAGTAAGAAAGCGACAGGAAGAAGCAATGGAGAAGGTAGAAGAATGAAGAGGTTGTCTGGCTGGCTTAACTGGGAGTTCGACAGGCCGAGATGTAGGACAATAGAGGCAAACTGAGCATGGAGGCAGAAGAGCACATGGCGAGTGGGGAATAAAACTGGTGCTACAGGACAACCGGCCACAAAAAATCAGCTCATATGTAAAGAGGAACAAAAGGAATAGGGATTCATCAGTCAGCCGGGTGCACAAACAGAATAGAGTGAAAACGGAGTGGGAAAAGAAGGTGGGTGGAGAAAGTGGGTTGAATACATAAGGAGGAAGGGGAAATGTGAGGCCGAATAAATGCGGCACAGATAAGGCGCAGAGTGAGATGAAAGAGGCCAGATACACCGACTGGGTGAATCACGAGAAAACAGCAAATAACAGTGGCTGAAGCAAACCAAGGCGTGGAGGCAGAAAGGAAGCAGCTATGTCAGATCGGGCTAGTCACTGGTATACAGACAAAGTTGTATTCGTGTGCGTGTGTGTGTGTGTGTTCCTCTGTAAGGCCGCATACGTGTGCTTGCATATATGAATCATAATGAATGGGCGAGCATATGAAGGGATGTAGGCAAGTGTCTACACTTACATAGGGGGGATCCGAATTTGAGGTGTAGTTGGGATAAAATCCACAGGGAATGAACTGGAAGCTCCAGGCGCCACGGTTGGATAGGTGAGTCAAAAGAAGCAGACTCAATAAATTGCCTTCGCCGTAGTCAGTTAAGGATAGAAATGTGCTCACAGCAGGACGGATACCGAGTGGTCGGTAGATGGAAGTATATAGACCATCGCTGCGTTCCTTATGCTAGCAATCACCATGCCCTATCCTACTTCCAGACTGGGCAATGTGAAGAAGTCACACTCGGCAAAAGTCAACTTTTTAAAAATACCCACCTAAGCAGGTAAACACAACAGAGACTAAGTGGAAAAACTGGTTTTCGAAGAATCTCTTAATAGATTGATGCTGGAGTACCTTTCATTTCGTTTGAAGAGGCGAGTAGAAGGAATTCACAAGTTGGCTTTAGTGCAAGCCGTAAGACGATTGTCTTGGAGGTCGTCGGCACATTTTTT